TTTTTTTTTTTTTTCAAATGAGAGCCCATCACACTATGTACTTGATACTATGTACTATGAACTTCAGAAGCAGTATTTATTTAGGAATACTAAAGAAGGTCAAAACCTTAATAACAATAACGGAATGTAAAATACTTTGCTATCAGGCAGCAGTGTAACAATTTAACACTGCTTGCAACTTCTCTCATTTCTCATCTCCCCACTTAATTCTTTTTGGCTGCTAATACTACTGAGATAGTCACATTATTTAGTCCCATTATGTGATTTTTAGAGTCTTTCTACAATAGCAAAATATATAATACTTTCCGTACCCACTGTATATATATATATATAATTTATGTTTTAAACTAAATAAAATGACTAAATTCTGAATTTTTCACAACCCTGACATGCACTTCAAAATGTTATGGACGCTATAAAATATAATATGTGGTCTCACCTATATTGGGCAGTATGTGATGGAAGTTGAACCATGCTCTTATGAATGGGTAGACTGAAATAAGGAGACCTGCAGAGCATAACAGATGTGGACTGAATCACTCACTCCGTGTTGTCAACGTCCTTCATGTCCTGCTGACAAGGCCTCAATGTTCCCACCAGGCTTAACCAGATCAGACAGCATGGACAAGCAAACCAGCACTAACTTGCATGAAACCTTCAAGCTGGTCTTTGTAGAGTAGGGAAATACTCAGCTCGAGTAGTACTGCATTTCTCTCTGCTAAATGGCTCCCTGAACTAGAGCTGCACACTAAAGACAGGCCCCATGCATATTGCATTACACAGCAAATTGATGAACAGCAATTTAAGCATTATTAAGAAAGCAGAAAGAAACAGAGCACTTGTGAGCGGTGAATTGACACAAAAAGGCTTGCTTTTGGTTCTGCTAATGTTTCATGCATAGTTTACAAAGACTTAAAGAGATAATTCACTAAAAAACAAACAATTCTGTCACCATTTACCCCCAAGACTTTAGTTAAAGGTATAGTTCACCCAAAATGAAAAATCTGTCATTAATTTATTCACCCTCATGCCATTCCAAACCACCCTCGTTCATCTTCAGAACACAAATTTAGATATTTTGGATGAAATCTGAGAGCTTTCTGACCCTGCATAGACAGCAGCGCAACTGAAACATTTTATGGCTGAGAAACATAATAAGGACATCGTTAAAATAGTCTATGTGACATCATGGTTCAACTGTAATGTCATGAAGCTACGGGAATACTTTTTGTGCGCATACAGCATGGTACTCTCATGAATGGCGGCGGAGACTGACCCAGAAGAGATTAAATCATTGCTTCACAACATTACGGTAGAACCACTGATGTCACATGGACTATTTTAATGATGTCCTTACCACCTTTCTGGGTCTTGAAAGTTTCAGTTGTGTTGTTGTCTATGCAGGGTCAGAAAGCTCTTGGATTTAATCAAAAATATCTTAATTTGTGTTCTGAAAATGAGAGAAGGTCTAATTAGTTTAGAAAGACATGAGGGTGAATAATTGACAGAATTTTCATTTTTTGGTTGAACTATACCTTTAAGATATTTTTTATGAAACCTGAGAGGTGTTTGTCCCTCTACTGAACGTCCAGGTAACCATATGAATCGAGCCTTCAAAGTTTTCTGAAGAGAAACGATTACTTTATATTATGAACAGATTTAATTTAGACATATGATCAACACACATACAGTACATGGCGCACATCACATATGGTAAACACGAAAGCTCAAAAGTTTGATTGTGATGCACAATGTGCCGCAAGAATGTGACACAAGCTTCCATGTTCACCAAATATGATGCACTTTATCTTTGTGTTTGTATGTGAATAAAAACCTAAATTAAATCATACAAAGTCTAAAAAGCGACAAAGTCTCTCACTGTAAAAAATTGTGCTGTAAAATAACGGTAAAATACTGGCAGCTGTGGTTGCCAGCAATGTACAGTTAATTTACAGCTGTCCTTTTTTTACAGTATGTTACCATTATAATACCATGTAACTCATTTCATTTGGGAAACCGATTGCTTCAAACCATTCAAAAACTAGTATTTATACGGTGTACATAAGACTTAAATTAAATCACTCAGTTCATATGCATTCCTTTATGACACTATTTTAACCTTTTTCGGATAAACCAAAGTCTTGGGTTTAGAATGACATGAAGATGCATAAATGATAACAGTATTTTCATTTTAGGGGGAACTATCCCTTTAAGCCATCCACTCTAATTTGACATGCCTTCCCAAAAACATATTTTATATCCTTGTGGCTAATGAAGGTGTGCAGCTGAGCTCTTTCTCTCCTGTCTGTCTCCTTGTGTTTCCAGAGGTCCGAGGCTGCTGGCGAGACAGCCGTAGACTGCAGGGGCTGTGCTGGATTTTGATTATGCACCTACTATTCAAGCTGTGAATCAATTCCTGTTTGAAAAGGACAAGGCACTGCTGGCTTTGTGTTTTGGCCAATTTCTGTTATGAGAGGCCACTGGCAGGCATGATTGCAGCATGCTGAGGGCTCCTTCTCCACGTGAAAGTGAAAGTGAAAAAGTGAAAGTGAAAGTGACGTGACATGTGGCCAAGTATGGTGACCCATACTCGGAATTAGTGCTCTGCATTTATCCCATCCAAAGTGCACACACACAGCAGTGAACAAACACCGTGAACACACACCCGGAGTTACGAGTCCAACTCTCTAACCATTAGGCCACGACTTCCCCCATAAGCAACATTAGCCACCCTGGAATCGAACCGACAACCTTACCGGTTCAGGGCCAGAGGCTTAGCAGAGTGCACCACTCAATTGACGCACAAACTTGCTGATGTATCCTCCCTCCTACAATTTTCCCTTTCTAGCTCCTTTTTGTCATTTTTGTCCTCTAATCTCCTGCTTTCTTTCTTTCCTAACTCACCTCTGACTTATAAATCCATCATGGTGGTTGATGCTTGAGAGTGTGGCGCTACAATCGATCTGCCCTGTTTGGCAGGAGACTTGTTCTTGCACCAGTAAAGATCTCCTAGCTCATGTATGCACCCATGACAGCGATATCTCGATGAGACAATGTCAAGAAGTGGACTTTAGTATGGCTAGAGAGGATATTTAATTTGACGCAAATGAAGGTGAGGCTGTGATTGCTGTTGCTATGCCATGTTTGAATAGTCAAACCAACAATATGATTGTGATTCAGTAAACAAGAATTTAATAGTTAGTAACAGAATACTGAACATACACTATATGGACAAAAGTATTGGGACACACCTCTTAATCATTAAACCTGAATTCAATCAGACAAATTGCCACAGGTGTTTAAAAACAAGCACCTAGTCATGCAGTCTGCATTTACAAACATTGTGGAAAAAAATGTTGAAAACTGAAAATAAAATGTTTGAATTAATATTTTATATTAATAAATACTATAATATAATTATTTCTATACTAACTATAAATGATGTAAAACTATATAAATAATACTAATATGAAAAAAAGGTAACACTTTAGTATATGGACCAATTCTCACTATTAACAAGTTGCTTATTAGCATGCCTATTATTAACATATTGGCTGATTAAAGCACATATTCTGCATGACCATATTCTACATCCTTAATCATACCAATACCTTAACAACTACCTTACTAAGTATCAATAAGAAGCAAATTAGAAGTTTATTGAGGCAAAAGTCATAGTTAATGGTTTGTTAATAGAAAAATAAAAATTATTGTTAATAAAAAAAATAACACTGCCTCAAAGCCTCCTTTTCATTTTCATCCCAGTAAATATGGCATCTACTCTGAGCAGTCAATCAGCCTGATCATCTGACATGATGGTTTAATATCAATAATAATGCATAACGCACCTCCTGCAAGGGCCTATATAGGTAATGCTGACTTTTCTCCAGCAGTAAACAATAGATCAAAGGCTACTTGTGTCTTGTGCAGCTCTATTGTGACACGGTCCTGTGTAGATTACATACCCACCATCGTAAGCAGGTGGCTTGGATTACAGACCTGGATCAAATGATGGATGTCCCTTTTTTGATGAACCTCAGCAGTGAATGACTGCGGGGATACTTCAGTATACCTCTATATCATATAGAAAACATGTAACCATTTCCAACATCCCTCTTTATATGGGTTCATTGTTGAAAAAGGCAAAGCATAACAGTGTGAAATGGAAGTGTGCTGATATGGAGCAGAGATTAGATGTAGTGTTAAAAATGCATGATATGCAAAAGAGACATGCACTGTGGAATAGTCAGTGAAGCAGTAGAGCAAAACCTGGAAAACCGTGCAGATTCATACAGCAAATTCAATGAATAGTTTACAAAACGTCCAAGCTGCTCCTTGCCATACAATACAAGTGAATGGGGACTAGGAGTTGTCAAGCTCTAAAAAAGTGCTTTTAAGGTGCTTTTTGTCCTTTTTGGAGCTCCAGAAAACTCCAGTGTTATATTTTGAGGCTTACAGTAGCTTTGTTAAAATGGAAGCCATTATTCACTAAAAATCTACACCATTCACGGAAAAGAGCAGCTTGGATATTATACTAAACATCTTCTTTTAAAAACGTTCCACAGAAAAAGGTAAGTCGTACATGTGTGGAATGGCATCAGGGTGAATAAATGCTTTTATAAGTTTTAGAACTATCCCTTTAATGAACAGATTTATGGTTTGTATTTTATTGATTGAATTTACTGTGTATTAAAGACTATTGTAAGTATGTACAGTATTCAATGATGGAATCAACCATTGGAAGACCTGTATCAGACCACCGCTATTCTAAATATTGCTGCAGATGTGTCTCTTTAGATATCTATGGTAGTTTTGGCCTATCAGACAGAGAGAAATGCTACTTACCAAGCCCCCCTGCCCCGAGGAAGATGCCCCCCACAGCATCTGCATCACAGTCCTTTGACACACCAATGATGATACAACCTGCTACAATGCTGAGCAGGGCTGAACCCACCCGCAGCCCATGGTACTCCCCAATACTGACCGCATTCATTCAGCAGGTGGAACTCCCCACCTGCCCCGTCTGGCTGACCCACACGCGCCGTTCAAAACCTGCATTCAAAACCACCAAGCGCTCACAAAGGCAGATTACTGTATGAAAGTTTCACTGTTAGTAAGATGGGTTAACAGAGACTCTACTTTCTCCTCAAGGCTCTTCATACATCTTTAAACACTGGGCTCTGGTTACCATGTCGGATTCATGCTTGTTCCCTTCAAACTAATTTGGGCCTGATTGAAGGCGACTAATCATTTGAGTAGGAAGTCCAGGACAGGCCTAACAGACCCATGGTACTTGAGTTTTTATGCTGAATGGCCAACAGGGTCATGCATTTGTAGGCAAATGAACTCTGTTGAATAAAAGTGTGTGTTTGAGCCCTAAAATCCATTGTTGCATCCATGTATAATCGTGAGGTGTATTAGTATCAACATGACCCAGAACATTACATCTCCACCACTAATTCTAACCTAATAAACATGCACAAAGCAAATTGTAGGCAAGCACTTTTTATTCATCCATTTAGTTCCTCTTTGTAAACAACTGTGTCATTTAGCTAATTCAAATAGGGACATTAAAGGGGTTTGCTTCAGTACAGTGTTTTTAATCTCTTCCATATTAGAAATGGAAAGGTCATCTTCTTCATTTGGTCTCTTTAATGTGCATGCGTTAAAGACTGATGATCAGATCCACTAATGTGTTTATGAAGCCATGCTGTGGCACATTTTCACAAAGGTTCCTGTTCTATGGCAGGCAGATGAGCTTGTCCGTTTTGACTTGAAGCTGGAAGGGAATGTGTAATGAGTCCTCCGCCGTCAGGACTCAAGACCAGCCACAAAGGCCCCGAGTTGCCATAGGGATGGCATATCCATGGCAACAGAAGGAGCAGGGGGTGAGCGGGATTAACACCACAGAGTTGGGTAACAAATGACGTTAACGGGTGAAGAAGAAGAAGTGACACATTTCCTGTTTGTGCTCTGGGCCCTTCAATACTGTACAGTGTCTTTAAGCATAAAATTCAATTTGAAAATGTATGTTTCCTGGAAAAAATAATACAGAGGAACTTATGTAACAAAAATTAAATTATGTTATGGTAACTGAAATGAATTACATCAATGGTGCTCGTATTTTTGTGAATTCAACAGCTGGTAATTCATCCCCGAGACATAAGCATCGAAAGTAGGCGCACATACAATAAGCCAATTCTTTTTCACCACTGAGAGCAAAATTAAGTCAGAGGCTCAGAGCCATAGACAAAACATACTTACTCAACAAAATATCTGTTAAAATATATTTAAAAAAGATATTACAGCAGCATCAGGATAAATCAAAATTGACAGAATAAAGAAAAATCTATTTAGTGCTGCTTTGGTCAGTTCAATATAAAGAAGTCTCACCAAGGCTGCATTTATTTAACCAAAATTATAAAAACAGTAATATTGTGAAATTTTAATAAACTTTAAAATAACTGTTTTCAATTTTAATATATGTTAAAATGTCATGTATTCCTGTGATGGTAAAGCTGAATTATATCTTGAATAAATACCCATGATAATGCTGATTTGAAAGGTGGAAATGTATCTATTCCTTGTGAGAACGAAATATAAAGCTGCTATAAATAAAGAATGAACATCAGTAGCATTTCATTTTGGCTGATTTGTTTTGTTAATGTGATCATCAGTTTTATATGTTGCTAAATTGCGGCCTTTGTTTGGAGTATTGCTGTGAATAGAGATAATAATTGTTAAATAATTCAGAGCAGTAATTTGATTCGTCACACATTACTAGTCTATTATTTCACACAACGTGTCAGTAATGTGCAAAGCAAAGCTTGCCAATGCTGAATATAACAGTAGGCCTGCACATTAACCTGTTCAATGTGTAAGTGTGTGGCCAAACACAAGTGTACATTTGTAAATATGACATTTTAACACAAAACCGTAGCCAGACTGAATTAGTGTGATTAGATTAATAAACAATTCCACCAATATCCTGTTTGTGTAGCATGTACCTCTATACTGTTTTAATAACAACATTTCAAATCTGAGGTTTTGCCATTTATACAAGTTTTTCTTCTAGCTTCCTGAACCTGTATGTGAACTGGCTTGTTTTTATTCTGTTCAGATGTGGAGTTGTGCCCTCCTGCTCTACCACAGAATTCATCCTCTCCAGCAATCCCATCAAATCATTATTCTTGTCAGTCAGACCTGCATGGAGTCCGCTATCACCGACTGAACTATCTGGATGTTTTTTGCACAGATAGTCAAGACTCTTTCACAGAAACATGTTCCTCAGCCTGAATCATGCCAAGGAAGTAATCTGCTTTGAAGAGACCTACCTGCTGGTTGCTTGTCATATTTCTTGTAATGACGAATTTTCTGAATTGCTTGTTTGCTGATGCTATTTTTGTAAATACTAAAAGCATAATTTTTTTAATTGCCATACCAAGATGATTTTGTATGATCATGTCTCTCTGTATGTATTTATACATTGTTACAAGTAGATGCAGTTTTTACAAAACACTTCCTCAAAGAATCCTGAAAACCTGTACTACTGTTTCCACAAAAACATTAAAGGAATAGTTCACACAAAAATGCAAATTTTGCCATCATTTACTCATGTCGTTCCAAACCTGTATAAGTTTCTTTCTTATGTTGAACACAAAAGAAGATATTTTGAAGAATTTTAAAGAACCAAACATTTGTTGGTCCCCATTGACTTCAATAGTGTGAAAAATGGGGACCAGAAACTGTTTGGTTACCCAGCTTCTTCAAAATATCTTTTTTTATATTCAGCAGAAGAAAGAAATTCCTACAGGTGTGGAACAACTTGAGGGTGAGTAAATAATGACAGAATTTTGATTTCTGGGTGAACTATCCATTTAAATGGAAAGTTCATCCAAAACATGATAATTCATAATTTACTCGCCCTCATGTCTTTTAAAACCTGTATGACTTACTTTCTTTGGAACACACAATGGGGACCATAAACTGTTTGATTACCATCATTCTTCAAAACATCTTCTTTTAAGTTCAACATAAGAAAGAAACATACAGGTTTAGAACGACATGAGCGTGAGTAAATGATGACAAAATTTTCACTTTTGGGTGAACTAGCCCAACTGTTTTCAACATTGATAATACACTGCTCAAAAAAATAAAAAAATAAAGGAACACATAAATCACACATTGGATCTCAATGAATGAAATATACGTTTCAAGAGAAGTTGAGAATCTTTTGTGGAGAATAAAATGTGACCCTGGACCACAAAATCAGTCATAAGGCTAATTTTTTTTTTAATTGGGATTTATACATCATCTGAAAGCTGAATAAATAATCCATTGATGTCCATTGATGCTTTCCATTGATGTATGGATTGTTAGGATAGGGCAATATTTGGCTGAGATACAACTATTTGAAAATCTGGAATCTGAGGGTGCAAAAAAATCAAAATATTAAGAAAATCGCCTTTAAAGTTGTCCAAATTAAGTTCTTAGCAATGCATATTGCTAATCAGAAATTACGTTTTGATATATTTATGGTAGAAAATGTACTAAATATCTTCATGGAACATGATCTTTACTTAATATCCTAATGATTTTTGGCATAAAAGAAAAATCTATCATTTTGACCCATAAAATATTGTTGGCTAATTGCTACAAATATACCTGTGCTACTTATGAATGTGGCCCAGGGTCACAAATGATAAGACAATGGCCAATGGAAGGCAAAATCATGAACCTGTTAAATTTAAATTACAAGCTGATCCAACTTTCATGAATTTCATCACAGCAGCTCATAATGTAAATCAGTAGTGTGTATGGTCCCAAAGTGCCTGTATGCACTCCTGACAACATCTGGGCATGCTCCTGATGAGATGGCCGATGGTGTCCTGGGGGATCTCCTTTCAGACCTGGATCAGGGCATCAGTGAGCTCCTGGACAGTCTGTGGTGCTATTTGGCGGCGTTGGATGCTCCGATACATAACCTCCCAGAGGTTCTCAATTGGATTCTGGTCTGGAGAACATGAGGGCCATTAAATGGCTTTAATGCCTGTATCGTTCAGAAGCTGCCACATAAGACCAGGTATTATCATGCACCAGGAGGAACCCATGAACACTGCACCAGCATAAGATGTGATAATGGCTCTGAGGATTTCATCCTGGTACCTAACAGCAGTAAGGGTACTGTTGGCAAACAAGTGGAGCTCCGTGCGACCCTCCAAGGATATTCCTCCCCAGACCATCACTGATCCACTGCTAAAACAGTCATGTTTTGTCAGGACCAGCACATGATCACCTTAAACCAGTTCATGACCAACTAAGGACCAGCTCAAACCAGCTGGCATGCTTCGAAACATACCTAACCAGCATATGCTGGTTTTTTTTCAACAGGGCAGTAGCCTGCTGGAGATCATTTTTTAGGGCTCTGGCAGTGCTCCTCTTGTTCTTCCTTGCCCTTCTATGGCCCTGTCCGGCTCTCCTCGTGTAACGCCCTGTCTCCTGGTATCTCCTCCATGCTCTTGAGACTGTGCTGGGACACACACCAAACCTCCTTGCGATGGCATGTATGGATGTGCCATCCTGGATGAGCTGGACTACCTGTGTAAGTAGTGAGAAGGACCCTACCAAAAACACAAAACTAGAGACAAATCAGTCAGGAAGGATAAGGAAAGAGCAACCGTCTGTGGCCACCATCTACAAAACCATTCCCTTTTTGGGGGGTTGTCTTGCTGTTGTCTCTCCAGTGCACCTGTTGGCACTTTCATTTGCACCAAAGCAGGTCAAACTGATTTACAACAATCCCTTATGCTTGGTATATTGATATCCCTGAAGTTTAATTGACTTGGTGTTATACTGTGATGATTAAGTGTTCTCTTAATTTTTTTGAGCAGTGTATATTTCTGCTAAATAAATAGTCAGCAACATAAAATATAGCAAGAAAATAGTTCACACCAGGCAGAATCAATAACAGCCCACATCTGCAAATAATATTAC